GTGTCGTAGATCGATTACGCCTAAATCCATTTTGACTACTGTCAAATATATTATATTTTTCGCAGAAGGAGTACAGTCTATTGCACATAGCTTTCTCATATATCTTAGCTGATGTAGGTAGGAGGGCAATTGGTCGGTAATTACTCGGGTCACGCTTAGAGTTCTTTTTGTGGATGGGTTTAACAATCGATTTTTTTAGGTCGTCGGGAAACACTCCTTCTAGGAATGATTGGTTTATTAATAGATAGAATGGTAATGTTAGTTCGTCTGCGCATTGTTTAAAAATCGCGGGTGGTATTTCATCAACTCCGCAGCTATATTTAGTGGTGAGGCTTCGTATAAGGCGATACACCTCTCGCGGGCTTACGGGACTCAAGAACATAGTGTCGCTGTGCGCGTGCTGCACAGGGCGGCCGGCCGCCGCGGCCGCTCCAGGCGCACTGGTGCTCGTGCTGCCCACTGTCGCGAAATATTTGTTGAATGCATTCGAAACTAGCTTAGGATCGCGCGTAGGAGTATTATTGATAAGAAGTTCGAAGTCTTGTTGCTTAATTTTGTTATTGGTTTTATTCATATTTTCGTTTATTATTTTCCACATGCATTTTATTTTATTTGATGATTTTTTCATACGATCAATATTAGCTAATTTTTTTGACTTTTTTATTGCGTGTTTTAGGATTTTAGAGTAAGTTTTAAAGTAATTTCGTAAGGTTTTATTTTTTGAGTATGTTACCAGTATTTTAATTAGTCTTTTATTTTTACAAGAATTTTTTATTCCTTTAGTTAGCCAAAGTGTTTTATAATTTTGTTTTAGATTTACAAGTTTTTTGGGTATGGTTTTATTTAATATTACAATAAGCAAGTCTATGAAGGTTTTATAATTGTCATTGGCACTTTTATCATTACACAAGATATATTCCCAGTTAATTTTTTTAAGTTCCGTTTAAAATTTATGTATGTTTTGGTTATTAAATAATCTTTTTACATTTTTCCATTGTATATTTTTAGGTTTAGGCGTATCAAGTATGAGAACAGTAGCTTTATGGTCTGAGAAACCGATGTCTTCGACACAAGTAGTTATGTAGATATTTGGAACATTTGTAAAAATCAGGTCTAAACAAGTGGAACTAGTATTAGTGACTCGAGTAGGGTCTTTTATATGTTGGATTAGATTACATTCCAACATAGTGCTTATTAGAGTTTGGGATTGTTTATTATTTTCTAATAAGTCAGTATTTAAATCTCCACCTAAAACAATATCATACCCATTATATTTGACAGTCAACAAATTTATATGGATAAAAAGGATTAAAGGATAAAAACTATCCTATGTCCTTTCCCGGGACTCAAACTATCTTTATGCCAAATTTCATCAAAATCGGTTCAGTGGTTTAAGCGTGAAAGCGAGACAGATAGAGTTACTTTCGTATTTATAACATTAAGTATAGATAAGTATAGAATGTATAGATCTGAATGCGATTTTTTTAAACCAATTCTAAGTGGTGCAGCTCATATAATGAACTCGTACATTATAGCTGCATTGCTATAGCTATTCTAGCGAGGGAGAACTAGTAACAAGCAATAAGACCCAATAAAATCTCTCGCGATATAAAAGATACAGGAAAAGATACAGTTGGTCCACTGTATTTACGACAACGTAACCAACAGTCTTTTATCTTAGCTTAGTCTTGATTATTTTCACTATCTACAAGTTAGTCTTCTTTCATTGCATTACAGAGTTTTAGAAAGTTTTTTTTTCTTTCAGACTCCATAAACGTAACTTGACATTCGGTCGTTCGTTTCAGCCATATGACGTCTACTTCTGGACAAAGTCCTGCCCCAAGGATTTCTATAACGACCGGTCTTGCGCTGCTCGAATCCAGGTTCTTCCCGTGTCCTTCACCAGATCGTCAGTCCACGTCATAGGGTCACTTCTTGACATATGGNGTCCTTTATAAGGCTTGCGTGGGGATACAGATCCAACACGTAGAGGCCGTTTTAAGCGTACAATAATCGACAAAAGTGAAAGTGGTGCACATGCTGGATCTAGTCTCTGACTATATTATTATTATTATTATTATTATTATTTGTAATTTTCATAAAGACAAGTTAGATTTCAAATAAAAACAAAAGATTTCGAAGTAAAATAAGCATTTTAGTTAAAATTGAAATTGTCTCTACCTGTAGCGGAGAATAATGTTGTGACTGGCCTTTGTTCAAACGATCATAGCAAATGTTGTGATAGGGATAGAGACATGCGATGTTAGGTTTTACGAAGGTAATACGATAGAGAATAATACAAAGTAATAAAAACTACCGGTTATAGGGGCATTTTTTGGAGAAATTTATCAAATAACCAAAAAAATACGAATTTTTAAGCAGATTTTTTTCAAAAAATATATTTTTTTATTATTTGTTGGCCTTTTTTGTGTGTTTAATATATTTTTTTAGTATTGCCTGTTATTTAGCATTATTACTGTTTTTATTTTATCAGGATATAGCGCTTAGTTTAAAAGTTATTACGTTTTCTTTACAATAAGTAATAGTAGTTAAAATTAAAATTGTCTCTACCTGTAGCCGAGAATAATGTTGTGGCAGGCCTTTGTTCAAACGATCATAGCAAATGTTGTGATAGGGATAGAGACATGCGATTTTTGGTTTTACAAAGATAATACGATAGAGAATAATACAAAGTAATAAAAACCACCGGTTATACTGTATATACAGTGTGAGTCACGTTAAAGTGTACATATGAAAATAGATGAAACTAGACCTATTTTTATCGACAAAAAAGTGGTCAAAAATTGTTTGAGATTTTTTTTTAATTTTTTATAGATTTTTTTTTCTTTCAAGTACTTATTGTAAAGAAAACGTAATAACTTTTAAACTAAGAGGTATATCCTGATAAAATAAAAGCAGTAATAATGCTAAATAACAGACGATACTAAAAAAATACATAAAATACTTAGAAAATGCCAACAAATAATAAAAAATGATACTTTTTGAAAAAAATNCATCTCTACTAGGAAGCTTACCTTTATGCCTGGCTTACATAAATCTGGCGCGTCCTTTTTAATAATAATAATTATAATAAATCTTTATTTAAGCAAGACAGATTTACAAAAAACGGAATGACAGTCTTAAGCTAATTACATGCTATGGTGGATTGTGAAGAAGTGTTGGTAGCGATCCTCGCACTAGGTATGCACGCACCTGTATCGCAAGAAACAAAGTAACGTTTTGCCAAGCAATTTTTATGCGGGTGGACTGAATTGACGACTGCCTTTGGGTAATTTACTTATATTCATTGAACATCCTTGGGTACGACGTCCCCGCGGTACAGCAGGCAGCACGCAATGTACTTCCCGGATGATAGATTACTAACAGTCTAGGGAAAGGTTAGACATCCCCCGACTACGTGGAACTCACATTGAATCATGGTAGATACCAGTCCACGAGGCCTCCTGCTGTCTTCCTTTGTCCCTCACTGATGAGGATCGCGACCACAGATGTGGTATAACCATTCACCTGGCTGGGCGACCGGTCGGAAGAGGCTGCAGCGGCCTTGAGGTTTAAATGCCCTCTAAAATGTCTGGTGCAGAAAGCAACGGGAAAATACTACACTATATTTCCCAAGAAAACCACATGATGACAAGTTCCCTGCATCTTTACTAGAGAAAAAATATCCCTAAGCTTGCATAGAGCTTACCTTGAATCCCGTAGGACACCAGTCCACGAACCGGATACCTGCTTGTCCCTTCATGGCCGCGATAGCAGCGTTGACATCCTTGGGCACGACGTCCCCCCGGTACAACAGGCAGCACGCCATGGTGTGTTTCTCTACACTAACGACAAATCTAGAGAAATGCTAAATGCCTCTGACTTCACGTGGATCTCACCTTGAATCCCGTAGGACACCAGTCCACGAACCGGATACCCGCGCGTCCCTTCATGGCCGCGATAGCAGCGTTGACATCCTTGGGCACGACGTCCCCCCGGTACAACAGGCAGCATGCCATGTACTTCCTGAATGATACAAAATACGAATCTAGGAAAAGGTTTAAATATCCTGACAGATCTCACCTTGAATCCCGTAGGACACCAGTCCACGAATCGGATACCCGCTCGTCCCTTCATAGCCGCAATAGCAGTGTTGACATCCTTCGGCACGACATCTCCTCGGTACAACAGGCAGCACGCCATGTATTTCCCGGATGATACAAAATACTAATCTAGGAAAAGGTTTAAATATCCTGACAGATCTCACCTTGAATCCCGTAGGACACCAGTCCACGAACCGGATACCCGCGCGTCCCTTCATGGCCGCAATAGCAGCGTTGACATCCTTGGGCACGACATCCCCCCGGTACAACAGGCAGCACGCCATGGTGTGTTTCTCTACACTAACGACAAATCTAGAGAAATGCTATATGCCTCTGATTTCACGTGGATCTCACCTTGAATCCCGTAGGACACCAGTCCACGAATCGGATACCCGCGCGTCCCTTCATGGCCGCAATAGCATCGTTGATATCCTTGGGCACGACATACCCCCGGTACAACATGCAGCAAGCCATTTACTTCCTGAATGATACAAAATACTAATCTAGGAAAAGGTTTAAATATCCTGACAGATCTCACCTTGAATCCCGTAGGACACCAGTCCACGAATAGGATACCCGCGCGTCCCTTCATGGCCGCAATAGCATCGTTGATATCCTTGGGCACGACATACCCCCGGTACAACATGCAGCAAGCCATTTACTTCCTGAATGATACAAAATACTAATCTAGGGAAAGGTTTAAATATCCTGACAGATCTCACCTTGAATCCCGTAGGACACCAGTCCAAGAATCGGATGCCCATGCATCCCTTCATAGCCGCAATAGAAGCGTTGACATCCTTGGGCACGACATACCCCCGGTATAACAGGCAGCACGCCATGGCGTGTTTCTCTACACTAACGACCAATCTAAGGAAAGGCCAAATACCTGCGACTTCACGTGGATCTCACCTTGAATCCCGTAGGACACCAGTCCACGAACCGGATACCCGCGCGTCCCTTCATGGCCGCGATAGCAGCGTTGACATCCTTGGGCACGACGTCCCCCCGGTACAACAGGCAGCAAGCCATGTACTTTCCGTCGCGAGGGTCGCACTTCACCATCTGGTTCTGAGGCTCGAACAGTTCTGCTGTGATCTCGGAGACTGACATGCCTTCGTGGTATGCCTGTGAATAAAGACATGATTTTTATGAGCTGTCAAAACGAGATTGTAGATTTGGAATGGGAGAGGAGACGCTACGACGTCACCAGAGTTCACTATTTATCCAAACTGAAGAAAAACTGATTTAAAGGCTAGATAAGTTTTTTGTTATAGAACTTGGAATTATTGGTTAAGTGTCGATGTCGAGTCGACAAACCATTGGATACTATGTTATTGGGATAGTGGAAGGTAACTTAAATGGATCAGAGTTACCTTGTCAGCTGAAACGACAGGCGCATAGGCGGCAAGAGGGAAGTGTATGCGCGGATACGGCACCAGGTTGGTCTGGAACTCCGTCAGGTCCACATTGAGCGCGCCGTCGAATCGCAGAGACGCTGTGATTGACGACACCACCTGCAAAGAACGTGACCAATAGGGTGGTCCTTATTTTTCGACTTTTGAATTCTCCCCGGGGCACTTTCTCATTCGATTATACAGGGTGTTTGGCGCATCGTGTGCCAAAATGATTTGGCGGATAGAATGGGTCATTTCCTATATTTTCAACCCCCATAACACGTTCCATGTCAGGCGGCTACTTTCATATTAAGTTTTTTAGTAATTTCACCAAAATACCCAAATCGCATCATTTAATTTCGATTTAAAAAAAAACTACTAAGCGTAGCCTCAAAGTAAACATTTTGTTTTGACGTGCATCGATATAGGGTTGCATCAAATCTAAATTTACTGGCAAATATCATCTAGTTTTTTTTTAATTCAGCTTTGAACTTTTCCGAAAAGTTGAAAATGGACTGAACATTTAAGTTTACATGGCTATAANAGATACAGGACAAGATCTGCGTTATGAGTAAAAAAAAGATTATTTAACCAAGCTGATGAAAGCATGTATTGAAAGTACCTATTATAATTTATTATTAACACAATAATTTGGTAAAGGAACCGCCACCTTGGTACAAACAAGATCACATGCTCTACTCTACAGCTAAGTTCGGTAATCCCAACTTCCCAACTAATATTATAAATGCGAAAGTAACTCTGTCTGTCTGTCTGTCTGTCTGTCTGTCTGTCTGTCTGTTACGCTTTCCCGCTTAAACCTCGCAACCGATTTTGATGAAATTTGGCATAGAGATAGTTTGAGTCCCGGGAAAGAACATAGGATAGTTTTTATCCCGGTTTTTGAAACAGGGACGCGCGCGATAAAGTTTTTCTGTGACAGACAAAATTCCACGCGGGCGAAGCCGCGGGCGGAAAGCTAGTTTACAAATAAAGTACGGCCAACGAGAAGCGATACCAAATGTAAACAAACCCAATGTCATGGTCATTTGGAAAAGTAGGGGTGGGTTGCACCACTATCTTTAACGGTAACTATGACGATAACCGGTGCTTTTTGTATGGAATTTGAATTAAAGTAAGATGGTTAAAGTTAAAGTAAGACCCAGCCTAAGGGTTTGACACTGACATATTTTAGCGGGAGAACGAGTGTGTACATCTTGTGTACGACAAATACACAAGATGGGAAGAGACAATAGATTGTCAGTTCGACAGTCGAATCGATCTTTTGTATCGCTGCTAGTTGGCCGTAGGTACTTAAGGTAAAAACATATTGACAGCTGGTTTTAGAGCGAAGCATCTTACCTGTGATATGAGTCTGTTCAGATTGGCATACGAAGGTCGCTCGATGGACAGCCGCCTCCGACAGATATCGTAGATGGCCTCGTTGTCCACCATGAAGGCACAGTCCGAGTGGCCGATGGTCGCGTGTGTCGTCAGCACCGCGTTGTACGGCTCCACCACCGCTGTTGATACCTGGGTAATCATTCCGAAGTTACAAATGGAGCATTTATTCCATAAGATATGAAGGCTGATTAGTTACTACACTCGCGAGCAAAAGTATGGAATCACTTACATGAAGTTGTTTCCACGCGATCTTGTGTACTATCGAATTTGTTAGGAACAAAAAAAGTGGCACCATTTTAAAGATTAAACTTTTATCTTTAAATTGATACCAAATTCATTTAAATCACACTAGTATTTAAAAAGATATCCCGGCTGATGTGAAGAAGTAACGAAAAAGACATGTATGAACTGTTTGATACGTCACGAGTTGCGGCCTATTTACCCCCTATAAAAGCACGCGTTTTCGGATTTTTGATTTCACACGTTGATTCATACACATCTCCGCTTCTTTTGACACTTTACCTGGGATTCTACACTTTCAGAAGCAGCACGAATCGTTGCACTATTGCAAGAAGGGCTCAGCCAGCGGGCTGTCGCACGTCAGCGCCACATAAGCCAGTCCTGGGTTTCGAAAGTTTTAAGACGCTTTCGGGAGACTGGTGGCTTTATCCCGAGACCAAGTTCTGAACAGCGCCGGCGCACATCGCAGAGGGAAGACCGTTTTTTCATGTCAATCTCTCTATGAAATCGTCATTTGACTGGAATCGACGTCCAGTAAGAGCTCAGAAATGTTCGTAGGATAGCTGTTAGCGAGTAGACACTATGTCTAAGACATAAGCAATAGAATTTAACTCCGAAAAGGCCTGCCACAGGCTCGAAACTGACGGCAGGTCACCGATAAGCACGCTTTCAATTTGCTCGTACACATCTCGATGTTAAGTCGAGCAAGCCACCCCCATAAGCCACTGTTTCAGCGAACCAGCACTGCACAAATCGCTCCTCAGGCCGCCTATAAACCCGACCTCTTCGACTGCTGCCCTGCAAACACAGTTTGCATTCATCGGAGAACAGAACTCGCCTCCATTACTCGCCTTCCCATCGAGATGTGTACGAGCAAATTGAAAGGGTGCCCTGCCGTCAGTTTCGAGCCTGTGGCAGGCCTTTTTGGAGTCAAATTCTATTGCTTATATCTTAGACGAACTGTCCACTCGCTAACAGCTATCTTACGAACATTTCTGAGCTCTTGATGGACATCGATTCCAGTCAAATGACGATTTCATAGAGAGGTTGACATGAAAAAACGGTCTTCCCTCTGCGATGTGCGCCGGCGCTGTTCAGAACTTGGTCTCGGGATAAAGCCACCAGTCTCCCGAAAGCGTCTTAAAACTTTCGAAACCCAGGACTGGCTTATGTGGCGCTGACGTGCGACAGCCCGCTGGCTGAGCCCTTCTTGCAATAGTGCAACGATTTGTGCTGCTTCTGAAGGTGTAGAATCCCAGGTAAAGTGTCAAAAGAAGCGGAGATGTGTATGAATCAACGTGTGAAAGCAAAAATCCGAAAACGCGTGCTTTTATAGGGGGTAAATAGGCCGCAACTCGCGACGTATCAAACAGTTCATACATGTCTTTTTCGTTACTTCTTCACATCAGCCGGGATATCTTTTTAAATACTGGTGTGATTTAAATGAATTTGGTATCAATTTAAAGATAAAAGTTTAATCTTTAAAATGGTGCCACTTTTTTTGTTACTAACAAATTCGTTAGTACACAAGTTCGCGTGGAAACAACTTCATGTAAGTGATTCCATAGTTTTGCTCGCGAGTGTATATTACAGGAACTTGTTGCTACAGGAATGTGGAAAAATTTCACTTTGGAAAAAACATGAGTGAAGAGATGACATGGGCATGTAGGGAAGCAGATGAAAGTGCGCATATTACACAGATTTGGTATCGGTCGATTCTTCATACAAATTAAAATCGGCCCCAACTATCGGCCAACTAAAAGTTCGTGGTCTGCGCCTAGGCTAAATGGAAGCTAGAATGCCTTATGTTATTAGGTTTACTTTGTGTAAGGAAATAAATCTAGTGGTTCCTAAATTATAGTAAGCAACAAATTATAATATATTGGCGGTAATTTAAAATAAGGGATACTTACTTGTGGTGCCGGGTAAATAGCGAACTCCAATTTACTCTTCTTGCCGAACTCGTCAGATAGCTTCTCCATGAGCAGCGACGTGAAGCCAGAGCCGGTGCCGCCGCCGAACGAGTGGAACACGAAGAAACCCTGAAGATACGCGTAAAATACAGTAAAAAGAAATATTTTTGTATGAGCTGAGGTGGTATTAAAAAGTGGGCATAAGATTTAATTGCATAAATTCGCAAGCCAATCAAAGATTTTTAGGCAGGGTGAAACAAGGTAGGTCTATAACTATTTTGAAAACTTGGCCAAGGACGTAAAAAACAAGATGGGACAATAATGTTCTTGCTATCAACGCGGATAGTGGTGTGGTTAACCACATGATTATGCTAGGAACCTACCTATTCAGTCTGTTGCGAAACCAATTAGGTTTAGTTTTAGATAAAATAAAACAAAAGTGCCGTTTAAAAATTATCACAGTTCCGTCAAAGTGTTCTCTCAGTTCAGTATCAGTGCTACAGTGTTGCGTCAGTGATTTAATTCATACATGTCGGTACTCAGTTCACGGAGCTTCAGTGAAAACGTGTTCGCCATCAAGTATCGAGATTATGCCGTTCAGTACTACCACGGTAATACTATCATACAGTATTGTAACTTCATATAAACGGACGAAACGCGAGCTTTCCTTCGAAATTCAAATCTCGGTATGCGCTCGACATGCAAAAGTCGGGGATGTCGCGACGCGATTATGTGCCACAGTAATAAACGGAGGACGTGTTGTTTTTTCAATAGTGTGGTTTTTTTTATAAAAATAATTACAAGTTACCTATATATACAATACAGGGTGTTAGGTAAATGGGTTTATAAGTCCACTCTAGCCCATGTTAACATTTATGCATGTATAGCCTGACCAGGAACATAAAAACCCTGGCATAGAGGCGCTTCAATTGCATTTGATAGTGCAACACTGAGTACAGTCGTACATGTGTTAAATTAATAGGCTAAATTTATGTATAAGGATTCAGGATTACGGGCTAATTTGATATTTTCATAAATTAACGAAAAATATTATTAAAGGTAACCTGGTTTAAATAAATTAAATGANAACCCTTAATTGGTCGCGTGGGGTGTCATGCACCCCAGAGCAGGTTTCCAGGCACACAACTTTTTTAAATTTGAATTTAGCTTGCTGGCCTTCTAGGTAGCTTCGTAAATACGTAAAATGTACACGATTCAGTTGCAAACGGCGCTCTGTTGTGGACGGTTGGACTTGGAGAGCGTGTTTGGGGTGCACGACACCCCAGGTGACTGTTTGTGTGGTCTAAATTTCGAGGTAGTGGATGATGTTAATTTCATTATTTCTGTTTTAAAAACATTGTAATTTGACAAGTAATAACTGTTAAGTGTTCAGTTATAATACTTCGAAATTTTGAGGTTATGTTACCATTAAAATGCCACTTGGACTAAATGATCAGGAAATTATACAGATGTTAGAAGAAGAAGAAGAAGAGGCTATCGATAGTGCATCTGAAGATGAGCAAGATCATGACATAATAGTGAGTGATCATCACAGTGAATCGGAGCAAAGCGAAAATGAATCGAATGATCAGTAGAGTAGTGAAGACGAGGTCCCTTTGCAAAATGTAGCCAGCTCCTCTCAAAGTCATGATCAATCATTTTACCTCGGGAAAAATAGACTTGCAAAGTGGTTCAAACATCCACCACAGGACAGGAAAACAAAGACTGAATGTTCGAAATGCCAAAAACATGTGTGCAATGACCATATGAATATAGTCTGTCAAAATTGTGATGATAAAAACTAGGATTCGAAAATAAATATTTTTCATATTAAAAAAAAGGTTGATTTTGTTAAAAATACGTTTAAAAGTTGATTGATATGTAAGTTCAAATGTCCTTATTAATAAAAGTCTGATTTTGCATGTATTTCGTATTTTATTTAATTTCCTAATTCTGGGGTGCCAAACACCCCACGCGACCGCTTATGCAACTTTTTAGGCGCGCCCAATTGAGGGTTAAATCCGTTGACATCTGCTGCATCTGCCATCTTTTTGGCTAGAAGATTCTTCTATCTTGCAGCTTAGACCTTTAGCTACAGACCTTAGACAGTATTTTTGTGAAAATTCTTACGCATGGTGGAGAAATTAACAGGATAGCTTATTCAAGGAACATTTTAATTTGTCCATTGTATGCCATGTTCCCTTGTTATAAGGGAATTGCGTATTCGGCCACGAAAGTAAGACTGTTAAAATAAATTAAATTTCTTGAAATCTCTCTTTTGCGCAAAGCCACATCATTTATATTTACTGTGGTTATAAAGGTGTACCAAGGGTACATGCTACACCTTTTTATTCGATTGTAAGAGTACTGGTTTACTCACAAATCCGTTTTATCTGATTTTCGAAATCATTTAATTACACTGGTGTTTATCATTCAAATCAATGACTAATGCTTGAACTAATTTGGACATATCAAGGTCTATCATTGGTATTTTTTTCAAACTTCTGCGTTGAGCCATTTACGAGATCTGGGACATCACAAAACATTACCCCAGCAAAATTCTGAATAACTTGAGAACCGGAACACGAACAAATTTTGCTATTCGTGGACAAATTACTACGCAACAAAAGCTATCTATCCATGTATTTGGTTCCGGGATATAACGACTTTCAAAAAAAAATTTTGCTGGGGTAATGTTTCAAACATTACCCCAGCAAAATCTGTTTTTTCCTAATAACTTTAAAACTATAATTTGAACGAATTTTGCTATTAGTGGACAAATTTCTGCTCACGATGGACTAATTATCTGCTATACTCTCGACTCTCTAAAGCACAACATTTATAAAAATTTTGCTGCGGTAATGCACTCCTGTATAAATAGGTAACTTGTAATTATTTTTATAATAATCAAGCATTTTGTATGCCTCAGTCGAGGCGCATACATTTTACGGTCGCAAATTTATAAGATTTGTTGCTAAATCTTAACACAAATATTTTTTTAATTAAATCTACTAATACAAGACATCATGCATTTTTATCCTATTTCATTCACAAAGTATTTTTTTTGTCAAAACAAAATAAAAAATGACAGTCACAAAATACATTCACAAAACTAGAAGAAATTCTATGTAGGCAGATGTAATGAAAATAGGGTCTGCAGGTGGGCAGCCCTATCGCATGTTGTCATACGGTGACGGACCGCGCGGCTGTTGACATTTATTTCAAAAATATGGTCGAGTTAGAATACTGTATAGGGGCACTTCTTCGAAATCGCATTCTTCGGCTGATTCATATGGACAAATTTCAAATTCAATTGTAGGTTTGTAACATAGACTCATATGAAAATAGGTACACCCAATAACATATATTTGGATAAGGGACTCGTTTTTGTAAAGTAGTTTTCAAGATATCGACGTTCAAATATTTTGTGCCCATATGAATCAGAATTTGTTACATATTAATCAAAAATAGAAATAAAATTTATAATCTTTATGTACAATTGGCTCTAAATTAAGAAAATAATCATATTATAACAAAAACAATCATCTGTTGTAACGAGAAAATGCAACGATTCCACAATAATTCGTGAAAAAAACTTTTTTTTNATCCTTTATATAATCATCAACTTTATAGTAGCCCTTTTTGCAATTAGGTTGTTCTTCTACTCGTATTTCATAATATAAATAAAGTAAATATTCTTATTTAATCATAAACTTTACAACGCTACTGCGTAAAAGCAAACAAAGTTTGCAAACATACACCCACATGTAGGTATTTTGGAGTAAAATGCTCTACGGGTTTAAGTTTAGAGGGTGGCAAGTACACTGTACAGCAAGTGGGGCACTAAGGCGGGGGAGGCCCCCTCGCGGACAATGGCGATCGATGCCCACTGCTGGGCGGGTGAGCCATTAGGGCTGGCAAAAGAAAGTAAATAGTTAACGGTATAAATTATTTTTATTGATTTACTGAAGTTTTAATATTATCTTATGTCTTTGGAATAAATTCAGTATTTTGATTGCATTTTATTAATTATGTCAATACTTATAAATATAATTATATTGTTTTACGTATGATATGTATTATTATATCATTTTTATATAACACTAAATAGACGGTATGGTACCATACCCGTAAACTTCTCAATCTTCTCATATATTTTTTTCGAATCCAAAAAATGGGGTTCTCAATTCGGTTGTATGTTTTTAAATAGTATCATAGAAATTGTAGAGTTCGGCGGTACTTAATTATTTATGATGATGCTACAATTTAAAATCTGTCATTCGTTCTTATTTAAACTTTAGTTTAAGGGCTAATATAGGTACATAGTTTTAGCAATTCATCTTTTGAAGTAGCTCAAAAACAGTTTTTGCCAGCCCTAAAGCAACCCTCACGCGCCGGTGCAGTAAGTTAATTTGCATTCATGTTCGGCTCTCGTTAGGGTATTTATGTGCGACTTCGATTGTATGATGGATTGTTCCTGACATTTTTATAACTACTGGTATTGGTAATAATGTACCTTTCGAGAAACCTTTAACGGTTAGTATCAGTCTCTTTCTTTTTTTATTTATTTATCAACTAGGATTCCGCTTGGACTTCAAACGTATAGAAAGATTGAGTTTGGTTGTGAGTTTTATATTTTATTTCCTTTATTTGTAGCCCTTTCGGTTAATTGTAGTCTTATAAAATAGGCATAATAGGTAGACATTTCTCTATGATATTGCATATCTATGTTTCTATTTCTATTAAATATTTTTTAGAATTAATCATGTAATGTAGTATGGGATTGGTTTCCGCATCCAGTTATTTTTGTAGCTCTTTGCAGCCAGATATTTTGCCATAATGTAAACTATACGTTAATTAGAGTTTTAAATCAATCTTTACGCTCAAGTTGATTAATAGGTAGGTACCCCATGGTAAGTCACGTAAGCTTGTCACTCCACCGAATTGTTAATTTTAACCAATGCGCGTCCGCGGCGAATCGATTGTCCCGGTCTTTCGGTTGTTTGAGGACACCGCGTGACAATGTCACGCAATTAAATATTCAAATTAATGTAAATACAATATTGCTGAACTATTTTTGACTTTGTACAGTTAGCTTTACGGACGAAAAAAGGAGCTTTTGAT